CGTACACGGAGGTGGTGGGACTGCTGGTTCCGGAAAAGTCCCAGCTGTCGAGTGTGCGGGGGGAGATGATGGAAGGTTGTTTGCGACGTTCTTGGCGTTTGGCGAGGGGAGGTAGACCTTTGAGGATCGTGTTGACTAGGTAGCCTTTCTTCTTTGCCGCTTTGAAGAAGGGTGTTTGTAGCAATTCAGCAGCTGTGGGCCGTTGAGAAGGATCCTTGTTTAAACATCTTTCGACCATCTCCTGGAACGCTCGAGAATACTTGTGAGGACCGGCCTCACGGTCGAGTGTCGGTGGGGTGTTGGTGACTATGTGCAGGAGAACGGAATGTGGGGGCTCTCGTGAACGCGGCGCGCGGCCTTGAGCGAGTTCTAGCGCTGTGATGCCGAATGACCAGATGTCTGCAGACGCGTCGTACTGCTTGCGGTTGATGACCTCGGGAGCCATCCAACAGGGCGTACCGACGAAGGACTTGCGCTTGCCTATCGCGCCAGGCCGTCCGTTGGGCTTTTGAGCGGTGGTGTCTTCGTTGTCTCCTAGGAATGCGGCGACTCCGAGGTCGCCAAGGAGGACTGTGCCATCGTCGTCAATGAGCAAGTTGGCGGCCTTGACGTCGCGGTGGATGAAACCGTTGATGTGCAGATAGCTGGTGTGTGGTCAGAGGCCAGGACAGGACAGAAAGCAGGAAGGGTGCGCACTTGATACCCTCGAGGGCCTGTTTGAGGATGCACCTGACGACTTCTTCCTCCATGCCCCCTGGCCAGCCGTAGTGCATCACATCCGCCGCACTTCCCGCGTTCATAAGACGGAGGGCGATATACAGCTTGTGGCCGGTCATCCATGTCCCTCTTACTCGCAGCACGTTCGGGTGTTTCGACAGCGACATCAGCTGTGTCTCTCGTTGCAGCAACCGCAGGGGATGCTGTGGCAAGCGGTCGAGGTCAAGCACCTTGAGGGCACATGGGATACTTTGCGGCGCATCGGGTGGTCTGAATTCCGCCTGGTAGACGATGGAAGAAGCACCGAAGCCGATGGAGGGACCTATGGTGTAGTCGGAGGCATTGTCGCTGTAGAGCTGCCACTCGTCGGGGACAGCACCGATGAAGCTGCGGGGTGTCCTGACAGAGGACGGCATGGGAGTGGTGGTGGATGGAGAGCGGATGCGGCTGGAGAGGAGAGGTGGACGAAGGCAGTGACGGGGTCGAGCGCTCCGAGCTGGTGGCGGGCGCACACAAATAAAATAAAATTGTTTTCTTTCTGAGACGCAGGCTGATCCCAAGCAGCGACGGTCTGTTATGCTTGAAGATGACGTCCCGAAGAAGCCCACGACGGCAGATCTGCGCACACGATCTCCATGTGATTACGTGACAGTCACACAACCCGTGACACAGATAAGACCAGGGCTTCCGGACGGCCCACTAGGCGCCCAATTTTGGCGGTGGTTTGACGCGTGCCTCTCCTCTCTCAACATCCTCCTCCCCGTCCTCCCCGCCCTCCACGTCCCCCTCGCCCTCGCCCTCCCCGTCCCCGTCGCACATGGCCCCGAAGCAGCCCTGTGCAAAATACCAATACGTCCTCACAGCCTCAGGCCCAAAGATCGTCCCCGTCCCGGACTCCTTCTCCAAGGACGAGGAATCTCCCGCTGATTACAACTCTGGTGGCTACCTTCCCGTCAAACTACGAGACACGTTCAAGGACGGTCGCTATCATGTTCTCCGGAAACTTGGGTGTGTTTCTCCGTCCCTTCTCCCCCCTCTCACTCACTCACTTGCCTTCTCAAATCCTTATCAATCCCGTCGCATGACACAGCTGGGGACACTTCTCAACCGTGTGGCTCGTCAAGGATACTGTGTAAGTCGCCGTTGCGCTGTCTCGTTAAACAACGACTGCTGTGCGACACTCCCTCCGCGTTCCCGCCTACTTTTCACCGCTACTCCCTGCTCGACGTTCGAATGTGCTGGCGGCGACCTGCAATCAAGAGTCACTCCACAGGAGTCGGTGCCAACACCACTTTTCGAAGGCGAATCGTGATACGCGAGCTTGATGTCTTTTTTCTGGCACATTATCGGTGGTCTGGTCTCCAATGCCACCCTTGACTTTTCGAGGGTCATCCTGCCTCTTGACCGAGGCGGCCTAAGAGCGCACATATGTTCGCCAACCGGACCTTCATCTGCGCTCTTCCGCCTCGTTCTCCTGCCTTTTACGTCGTCAATGCATTCCAGAACGGCCCACACTGACCTTTCTTCTTTTATCCAGTGAGAACCGACATGCAGCACTGAAGGTAGTTAAATCAGCTGGCCGTTATGCAGAGACCGCTCGCGACGAGATCAAGCTCCTCCGCGAAGTCATGAACGCTAAACCGGGCCATATCGGTCGCGAGCATATCGTCTCCTTCCTCGATTCTTTCCAACATTGTGGTCCCGAGGATATCCACGTTTGCATCGTCTTTGAGCCCCTCGGCGAGAATCTTCTTGCGCTCATAGAACGCCATCGAGCCCTTGGTGTCCCCGTTGCGCTAGTGAAAGTCATCGCCAAGCAGGTTCTACTTGGCCTCCAATACTTGCACGATGAATGTGACCTGGTACATACAGACATCAAGCCCGAAAATATCAGTAAGCACTTTGTATTTGCATCCTTTCAAAAACTCACTCAACGCTTTTTCATCAGTGGTTTCGATTCCAGATGTGGAGTCCCATATTCAAGAGGAACTCTCCCAATCACCCTCCCCCACTTCCCGTAAAGTCGGCATTCCTCCCAAACATTCCAACCGACCAACAGTTGCAATTCCCAGACGGGGGACAGGTCGTGAGCGACACGTGCAAATATTTGATTCACAGCCTCTTTCCAGCCGGCTACATAGCGCAAGTTCCAGCCCATCCACCCGACACGGTCTGGCGATGTCAAGAATCAACAGCGCACAGAGTTTTCAGTCTCCCCGTGACTCGAAAGGCAAGGGAAAGCAGGGTATCGCAGACTCTGGAGCATCCCATCTATCCACCCCCGATCTTTCAGACAGCTCGCCTTCTCTTCTCAGTTTTACGACAACAAGCAGCAGCGACACGGCCCCCACTTCACTAGGAAGCATCATGAGCGGTATCAAGCAGCTGTCAATGTCCAGCCCCGACGCATCGAAGACATGCACATGCCTCACCGATGCCTTCGACGACACCGCAAACGACGACGCGTCAAACCTCTCCACCTCCGTGCAGCGCACCGAAATCCCACCAGCGAAACCTTCATTGCTCTCCCAGACCGCGCCTCATGACCTCCACGAACACCGATGTCTCAACCACGACCCACATCCCCCTGTCACCAACTCACCACCTGCGGCATCCCCACCCCCGCCTCTACGCTCTCCCATCTCCGTCAAGATCGCCGACCTCGGAAACGCGACCCATTCACGGAGGCATTACACCGAAGACATCCAGACCCGACAATACCGCTCACCTGAGGCCATCCTCGGACGCACCGACTGGGGTTGTAACACCGACATCTGGAGCGTCGCCTGTGTCATCTTTGAACTCCTCACCGCGGAGTATCTCTTTGACCCGCAAAGTCAGGGAGACGTCTTCGGGAAGGACGACGATCACATGGCGCAGATCATCGAATTGCTCGGCGACTTCAGTGATGAAGCGAAGTTCGGTGGGAGGTTCAGCAGGGAGATCTTTGACAGCTCAGGTACGTTCTAATTTCAGCGTGCGCTCCACATCAAACGTTCGAAGAAACTGACCTTCAATTCGCGACCATCTCAGGCAAACTGCGCTACATCCGGAATCTCAAGCCGTGGCCTTTGAAACGTGTCATGATGGAGAAGTACCTCTGGAACGAGGCGGACTCGGCAGCACTGTGCGAGTTCCTGGAGCCGATGCTCGTCGTCGACCAACGCGAACGGGCGAACGCACGAGACATGGTGGATCATCCATGGGTGGAAGTGGACCTTTCATCGGAGGACCTGTCTGCGTGGTAGTGGGGGTGCCCCTCCTCCCCTCTTGGTTTTCGTACGCCCTCTCCTGGTCTTCTGGCTGCCTTTATATGAACGCAAGGGTCATGGGATGGGATGACTGTGATGACGCCATCGCGACATATGACTGGGACCTTGCGTGACCAGGCGCGCGTGCGCGTTCGTCCACATCCGATTGCATGGGATCGCGACTGTTTGGGCACTTGTCCCGCCATTCCTCTGCTTTTTTTTACATTTAATCTTATTGACTGTGGGGGTTCCGCGACCTCGTATTCCAGTCGTCAGTAGTAATTCCTTCCTTTTCGTGTACAGAACACTTTCTTGACCCTTTAACTTCATCCCTCCTCCCGTTGTAATTGTCTCCCCCCCTCGTCCTTTCCGACAGTTCTCCCTCCCTGCACACTAGTCGTATTCGTATCCTTATGATTGCAACAGCAGTTCCCCCTTTTTCTTTCCCTTCTTCCCCCCTTAGACTTCCGATCCCTCAGGATCGTTTAGACTTCTTTCCTTTTCTCGTGTTGGTGGTCACTGTGTCGTCGTCGTCTTTTCTCCTCTCGTCTCGTCTCTCCCATCATCAATTTCCTCTCACATCCAATCATGCCTATATCACCCTGCATCTCTCCACATTTCACATTGCTTCCCTCTCCCTCTCTCTCCCTTACCGCATCCCCGACCCCTAATATCCTCCCCCGTTCTCTCTTCGTCCTTCTCCCTTCTGGTACTCGTGGCGCCGCTGATTGTATGTGTGCTAGCTCTCTGTGCTCTGGCTCTGTGTCACCCCCTCCTCGTGTATGTCCCCACCTCCCTCTCCGGTTGTCAGTTTGTGTCGGGCTTGCCGTCTTTTTTTTTCAAACCTTTACATTAGTAGTCCCTACCTAGATCTTCAGTTGTGCGTTTTTGTGGTATACCAAGCAAATACAATCTCACGTCCCCATCCGAATCGCACAGTAAGGTGTCCTGCGGCGGACCGTTCGAGGTTAATTGCATTCGCAGTCGTCTCAAATCGAAGGGGGAAAAAGAGAAAAACAAGTGTTTAGCGAAAGGCGCTACCAGGGCTCGAACCTGGGTTTTGGGAACAATCGGAAAGAAATCAGAATCCCAAGTGATAACCACTACACTATAGCGCCCTTAAAGACATCTTGCAAGAGTGACAACATAATGAAATACTTGTCCACGCCGGTCGTTGTCCTCAGCCAGTAAACGCAACATTCCCCGGTATATGTCAGACTTGATGTTACAACATACGTACAGAAACAAACTCAGCATAGCCTGGCCAACTTTCGGTGTCCCCTCTCCCCAGGCCCCACCTCTCCGAGTCGCTAGTATCCCTCGACATCTTTGAAGTAATCCGGCGCCACCTGGGACGTCTCCGACAGACTCCCCTCCGCGATCTTCTCGCGAAACATCTGTTCCATCTGGAGCGCGAACCTGAACTGAGGTGCGCCCTGCGTGCTGATCGACGCGTGCTCCCATATTCGGTTCACGTCGGGCAACGCCCTGCGGATGCCTTCTGTGATGAGGAAGGTTGTGGAGAGCGGTGCTCTCGCTTGCCAGGCGCATTTGAGTGCGCAGGAGAGGTTCCCTGCGATATTTAACGGAGGAGGTGGATTGTGAGTTATATTTCTCGTACGATTCAATGCGGAGAGGTTCCTTACATAAATGCAATTCATCGTCTGCAGGGTATGAGCTGGCCGAGTCGATATAGTACTGCACTGCTTTGAATAAGTACTGGATGAGTGCGGTTGATTGAGCTTCGGTGATTCCGCCCGGTCCTATATCTTCGACCAAGCGGCCAGCCTTGATCTCATAACAAAATCCAATGGACCTAGTGGCCAGTTTAGTGTCTCGTTAGCGGACAGTGATTCGGTGAAGAGAGGGTCCTTACGATAAGGCCATTGCCCTTGGATACTTCGTAAAGGACAATATGAAACCCGCATCGGCACCCTCAGTGACAACTTGCACAGGTGAATCGCAGTCCTTGATAAGGTCTTCCGCCTCTTGCTGTAGCTTATCCGCTGAGAAAGTCTTCGAATCATGTGAGACAGCCTGGGCGAGTAAAGCTCTCGTAAGCGACGAAGTTGAGAAAGAAATCGAAAGGGACTCACACTGCGAAGGACGTGAATATAGACGTGATGCACACCTCGAATCATCGAGGGATGAAACATGCCACCTTTGTCATCGTAAGAGACGTCCTTCCACGTTTCTGCTCCCCACCTCAGGAACTCGAGTGCCTGGCCTATGAATCCAACTCCGACACTGTGTTCCCGCTTCATGAGCTGGCCCATGAAGCCACGCATGATCCAAACCCTGAAAAACAAACGTGTTAAGTGAATAGTATTCAATGACACAAGCTTTTATCCATACCGGATCGTCAATGCCATCGATTTACGCACACCGTCCCATGGTTCAGTGCGCAAACGCTCCAACACCACCGTCTTCATTTGCTCAGGACCGATATCAAACCATGCGCCCACCGTTTGCGCCTCGAGCTGCACTGATAGCAGTTACCAGCGATCAATACAACGGCGGGAAACACAACAATAACTTGGCCTCCGACTCACCTTGCCTCGTGTACGTTTCCTCCCAGTCAGCGTCGATTGTGTGAAACACGCGAACGTCTCTCAGGATAGCGCTTACTAGCAGTGCAATGGCCTGGTGCCAGTCACAAAAGATCATCAGTATATGGGACAAAGGAGCCGGTCCCTGACGTACCCCGCCAGCTCCTGTCCAGTACCCAGAATTGGGAGAGACTTGAACTCGTCGCTGCTGCTTGATTCTGTCCATGCCCTTACTCCAATCCTATGACAAGCAGCGGGTTAAGAATTCTGCGAGCAAAAAGGGATAATCCACAAACACTCACAAGGTATGCCGCGAGTATCACATTCCCCTGATCCAAATGTTCATCAAGCAGTATCCGTTACAGCCGTTGCGGATCTGCTTACGCTGCTACCTGTGTTCTGCATATTCACGCCTTGACCCTCAAGCTCCTTGTCGAACTTCTCCGCCCGCTTCCACGGAAACTTGTCGATTTCCATGATGAACTGGTGAGAGGTGGTATCGTGTGGTTTCCGGATTTTCCTCTCCACTGCCTTGAGCTCAGACTGGTAAGAAGTCTTTTGCTTCAACTCTGCTGCGGTTAGATTCTCGACAGGAAGTGCCTCGATCGCTCGTTTCCAGTTCTTTACGCTCTCGGTGTTGTGATCTAGAGACTAAAATCATCGGAATTGATAGATTGATGAGCATCCAAGGCTACCATTACATGGGGTTACTCACAGCTTGAGCAGCAGCCAATCTTGCCCATGCTTTAGGGTATAGTGGGTCAATTTCCGTCGCCTAAGACAGCCGAACGACATCAACAGTTAAGCAGCATCACAAACATACACAAGACGCACACGTTTTCCATCGGTAGCAGCATCCAAGAATCTACAGGGTGGAAGATTGTAACAGCCCAATCAGCGATGTGACGAGCGCATTAGATCAATAGAGTCCAATAGAGCAGACTACATACCTGTGAAGATTCTGACAACATGCGGCGCGATTTGCATACAGGATTGCATTGCTGTCATCGATCTTCAGTGCCTTGCTGTACTTGTCGTAGGCTGCCTGGTAATCCTTATTTAAAAAGAATGTGTTCCCTTCTTCTTTCAATTTAGCGGCAAGGTTTTGGTTTGGATTCTGCGCCTGATCTGACTCGGACATCTCAAAGACTCGAATGTTTGCCAATCGGACTCTGGTCCTTTGACCGCCAGGAACGATGGAATACTAGTAGAAACCTGTTGTAGATGCGCCGACTAATTAGCTTAGAATCGCGGTCGAGAGAGCTCAACGTCAAACCTCTGATCTCAATGGCCTGAGAGTCACGGTCAACCTGTGTTCCCGCTTGATGAGCATCGGGCCGGTAGACTTGGAGAAATCATCATTGATCTGATCTTGATCAGTCCGAGTCCTATTTTGGCACCATGTTTGGTTGCGCCGTCTTCAAAAAATGGGATAGAGAGCTGAGAGCATGAGTGTCAAGTTGACAGAGAAAATTAGTAACCCGAAGGAAGGTTCAGTTAAAACCTGAGAATGTGGCGCAGTAAGGGAGAACGGCGATGAACCACAACACCTTCCTCATTGAGACAAGGCTGGGTTTCAATGGCGCTCCTTTGGCGATCATATCTTACTTTCCTTTTCTCAATCGCATTCCAACCTATACTCCAACTTGAGCTACGCCGTTCTGCACCCACTATGGCCGAACTTCACGGAATTGCAGCAGAATGGTGTTTGAGAAGACGCGGATGACGCGGTTTCGCTCAACATCCGCAGGTTCAATAGGAGGCTGACCTGGAACGGCGGCTCACCCCGACTGGCCAACTGTCACCTCATCCTCCCACTCAACCTGGTGAGCTAATCCCAGGTCAGGCGCTGCTATATAGAACGAAGGGAACTTTTGCCGCAGTCCACCGTCTCGTACATCAACTTCTCACCCACATTTCCCGCTCCTGCTGTCCAGGGCTCCACAGAACAACCACGGTCACGGTCCCCTGCACTTGCTTCAAGACATCCCCTTTTTCGATTCTACGTATGCAACAGAGTTGAGAATGGTGAATGCCCAGCTTGTGTCTCGTGAGTCTTCTCTTCGTACGCATTACCATTTGTACTCACTCAATGTCAGGTGTTTCCGAACAGTGAGCACTCCATACTAGTATATGTCCGATGTATGCCGTGTGTGCTGATCGTGTTTCTTTCACTTTCAGATATGACAAGGGAGACATATCATTCATCATAATATGTGGCGCGTTGGTATTCTTCATGGTTCCAGGAGTCGGTGAGTTTTTTGTCATCTTTGGTGGCCAAAGGGAGGGTAGTAATGAGGTTCTCTCTCCCGCAGGTTTCCTGTACTCTGGTCTGTCTCGTCGCAAGAGTGCTCTTTCTTTGATCTGGACCGTTGCCGCAAGCAATGCCGTCGTGATCTTTCAGTGGTATTTCTGGGGATACAGTCTCGCATTCTCGTCTACCGCCACCAATGGGTTCATCGGAAATTTGAAACACTTCGGGCTGCAAGATGTCCTTGACGAGCCTAGCCCTGGGTCCCCCCTCATTCCGGAGCTGCTATACAGCTTCTACCAGATGGAATTCGCATGTGTCACGGTGGCCATTCTGATGGGTGCCATCGCCGAACGTGGTCGCGTCTTCCCTGCATTGGTTTTTACATTCATCTGGATGACGGTTGTCTACTGTCCTTTGGCATGTTGGGCTTGGTCACTCAATGGCTGGGGATTCAAGTGGGGTGTTCTGGACTTCGCAGGTACGTTGTCATTCACACGACGCGCTCGCGTGACTATACAAGGAGGCTGAATCCAGTGTGATGACTCGTGCAGGTGGAGGTCCCGTGGAAATTGGGAGTGGGATTTCGGGTTTGGCGTACTCATGGGTCCTCGGCCGACGCTCCGAAAAGGAACTTCTTAACTTTCGGCCGCACAATGTTTCTCTGGTAGGGCTGGGCACCTTCATCCTCTGGTTTGGATGGCTAGGCTTTAATGGAGGGAGCGCGTTTGGCGCCAACTTACGTGCAGTTCTTGCGATCTGGAACTCCATGCTGGCCGCTGCCTTTGGAGGCATGGTATGGTGCTTCCTTGACTATAGAGTGGAGAAAAAACTTTCCATGGTCGGCTTTTGTTCCGGAACCATCGCTGGCTTGGTAAGTCACTCTGTTGTTCGTATGGTTTGACGATGTCGAATGAATGGCGAAATTCACTAGGTGGCTGCAACACCAGCATCTGGCTACATACCACCATGGGCTGCTGTGATTATGGGCATCGTTGTCGGTGCAGTGTCGAATTACGCCACGAAGCGTACGTGACTTCACTTTATTTTTGCATTTCATTCAGCGGGTGACATCTTGTAATAGTCAAGTTCTTCCTTCGTATAGATGATGCACTAGGTATGTGAAGACATCTTTCAATAAACACTTGATTGGGAACTGATACCCTATTTAATGAACAGATCTAGCTGCGGAGCATGCTATTGGTGGAATCATCGGCCTGTTGTTCAATGCCTTCTTCGCGGATGGCAAACTCATCGCTCTGGACAACGTTAACACCTCGATACCAGGCGGATGGATCCGACACCATTGGAAACAGCT